ATTTGGTAAAAAAATTGTCTTTTATTATAGCTTTTCGGTACACCTACTGTGTTACCTGTAACCATAGGTATAACTAGGATGTTGGGCTAGGGGCTAGGGGCTAGGGACATAGCCCTAGCTGACATCACAAAAGTCATCGGTAGAATTAGAATTGGAATTACTTTATACTAGTACTTTATTGGTATATTATCAACTAATTATCGATAAAATTTTCATGGGAAACATTTCTATATGTTAGAATCCTCAGGGAAAATTTCAATATTGATTGTCGCAAAAACATTTATTCTACGAATAACTTGTTTATGAGTAATTAATGTTCAAAATGTGGGATTTTCCAGTTTATTGAGAAATTCTAATGAAACATAACGTGGCATCCCTATATTTTTTCTAAGAATTTATTTAACCTCAAATCGTTTTGACGAGCACAATTTAATGGATTTTTGTTTTCTTACTGCTATAGGCTGGACCATATATCTCTTGTGAAAAAAATTCCAATTTACGAGGTGACTGTCAAATTTAGTTCGGAAATAAAATAATTAATGATTATTTTCGATAAATTAAGTGCAACAAATTTCAGCGGATTTCAGCTAAATATGTAAAAGCTCAGAAAACTAAGCAGATAAATTTTTAGAACTCCATAAAACTTTGTAGAAATTTAACGAAACTTAGATAAATGTATCGAAATTTGTAGAAATTTGGGATTCTTGAAACTTCAGCTACTTTTGTGATGTTCAAGGAAACCCGTAGAAGGGAATTTAGTATAAATTAGGAGAGCTTCGAATAAAAAATTGTAACACTTCCTTGAAGTGGGAAACTTGTGCAAGTTTGGGAATTTTGTTTTATTTCGGTATCTTCTTTTATTTTAGGGCACTTCTCTAATTATTGGACTTGGAATAGTTTAAAGAATTTCGTAAATGTTCAAAATTTTGAAAAGAATTTTTTATTCTAAATTTTACGAGCGAGACTGCATAAGCCAGTCTAAAAAAAACAGCAAAAATGTGTATTGCTTCATTATTCAATAGAATATTGAAGCAATAAACATTTTTGCTGTTTTTAGACTGCCTGAGCCGAATACCGTTCGTAAAATCAATCAACACCCGATGCGAAGTTCCTTGTAGAAGTTTTGCGAATTCGAATTCGAAGAACTTCGCAAACCTTCATGTAAGAGCAAGGAATTTTGTAAAAGTTCAGGGCACTCGCAGAAGCTCGGTCTGCTTTATAGAACCTCAGCGATCTTTGTACACCCAAAATAAAACTGCTGTTTCCGAGATTCTATGGTATATTTGCAAGATTATGTTGCATTTTTCGTATAAGATTGTAACCTTACACAAATGCAAGACAATGCAAGTAAATTATGAAGTTTTATGCGAGAGATAATTGCGAAAACCGCAAGATTTGGGTGTGTTTTGGCGTGTTGTATTTTTCGCAACATTTTCTTCTTTTGGGTGTAGGAGTTTAGAAGTTTTGGTAACTTTGCTTCGCCCATATGCTCCAGTAAAATTCGTAGATAGGTTAAGTGTCTTTCCGGAAGTTTAGAATTGGTCATGGATGTTCTGAGATATTGATTAAATTAATAAAGCTAGGAAAAAAATTATGTAGCTTGGACAAAGTACAGGGAACAGTTACAGGAAACACGAACAAGTTCAGAAATCTTGGTAGAAGTTCAGATGAAGTTTGTGCAAGCTATGGACAAATCGTAGAAGTTTTGCGAACTTTGTAGAGATGGACATTTCCAGGATGCCGCAGAACTTCCCACAAATTCAGGAAACTTTCATTTCATTGAAAGAAGTTCAGGGAGCTTTGTTTTAGTTCAAAGCTAGGACTGAGTTCAAGTTCAAGAAACTTTGTGGAAGTACAGGAACCTTCATAGAAGTTCAGAAAACTTCGTTCTATTTGAAAGAACATTGTTTTCACACGAATTCCACTAAGATATAACTTAGGTACTCTGAATGTGTTTAGAATTAGAATAAAAGGAAATTTTAAATATCGTGTATCAGATATTTGTTCAGGATCAATTAGGAAGTATATTATTCTGAAGATTTTCAACTGTTCAAACATTTGAATGATGTCTCCATCATTTAAATGATGTCTAGCTAAATTGATGGTTGATCAGATATTATCATAGGACTTTTTTGAAAGATCACAGCTGATCATAAATTTTGATGTAGTCCTCTGGATCATTTTTCAACCTTTCAAAAGTTCAAATGGCGTGCTCTGATATTCGCCCAAAATGGCAGGTTGATCAGGTCGTATCTAGCTGATCGAGGATTTTAATTAATTCATTTGAATATGTATAACTGTACAACTGTTCAAAGATTCAAATGGCGTCCCAGAATTGCACGTTGAGCATGAAGTATTTAAATGATATCCAGCTATAGGAAAAAAATATCACGTGTCTGCTTAAAATTAAAAAAAAAAGCCTTTGGAAGTCTTCTTCAGTTTCACCATGTCTAAAACATCTTCATAAGACATGAAGTATTGTCAAAATATCTGCGGGAAAGAAATATCTGTCTATAGGAAACAACAAATGAGATGTCTTCACATTTGGCATTTAAAATTCTAAAATCGCAGCAGAGAATCTGGAAAAATATCGATGTAATGAAAAAAATGGAATACTCCGGTATGATTTTCAACAATTTTCTGGGAGGTTCAGGGGAAACCGTAGGTCTGAGGATGAAAATATCGAACAGGCAATTTTGGAAAATGAGGCACGAGCCAAAATGGAATAATAGCGAGCAATTTATTATGCAAAATTTCATGAAAATATGGGAGGGTTAATCAAGTCTGATATTCGGTATCTGGCCTGGATTTACTTGCACTAATAGTAGCACAAAAGAATGTAAGGGAAATAAGTTATCCTTTACCTTTTTTTTCTCAAAAAGTACTTAATAAGAACTGTGTACTGTTCAAGCATCTGTGAAGTGCTTTAGTTCGCTAGGAACTCCAGTTTACTACCACTGGAACAGAGACATCTGTTGCTTGATATTGATTTTACAAGCTTCTTTGATGTTGTGAGACTATTCACTCACAACGTGTAAAGTTGAAGCTGAGAGCTGAATCGTTATCTTAGAAAGAGAAGGTATTATAATGCTATCTCTTTTTTTCACTTCACCGATGGCAGACACGAAGCGACTGCTGCTAGGAAGTTTCGGTTGCGTTTGGGTGAATGTTAACATATATAAAACTCTGAGTACGGCTTTGACCATCGCAATAAAACGCTTCCATCTTTTCTACGAGCCACAGGAAAACGGTGGTGTTCCCAGCCAAAACTGGCGATGTGCTAGAGGGCTGCTCATAAACTATGTAGACAGATTTTTGGGATTCTTGACCCACCCCCTCCCCCTGCGTAGAAAATTGTCCATACAAAAATGTTAAAATTTATATGGGCCGTGGATTACTGTCTACGTAGTTTATGAACAGCCCCTAGAGTATAACGTTTCATTTTAAATACGGAGGAGAACTTTCTAATGATGGAGCGTTGTCATCCATAGAATGGAGTCCCGAGCAAAGTCCAGCATCAAAATGACAGCAAATTGAAATCATGTTTTGATATCAATATCAAACTGAAATCATAATTTGATTTCAGTTTACACATTGACAAATTTGATACCAAATTTTGTTTTCATTTTGCTGTACATTTGCTCTTTAAAAATATGTTGTTACGGGTTTGTTTTCATTGTCTTAGCATAACATCAAATTGAATACTTGTGTTGTTATCAACAGGAAAAATTGATATCAAATTGAGTTTTCAGTTTGCTCTCACTGATATCAGAAATAGTTTTCAATGTGATGTCACAGGAAGATTGCTTTGCTCTCAATTTTGATATTTTAACCGTTAAAACGACCAAAACGACAGCAACCTGAGCAATCATTATCAGCGAAATCACAACATCAAATTTAGATTTCAATTTGATCTCAGACTTTGCTCGGGGTACTATATCAAGATCTTAACGGCTCCGTAAAGATTAGATGCGTAAAGAAAAATATGCGCATAACAGCATTTTTTATGCGAAAGATGTCGCTATTCCCGTAAACTTTACACAACCTATAACATGATAATGGACCATTTTTTTTTGAAAATTCAAAAACAGCGCAAAAGAAATATCAATAATATCCCAAGAATATGATTAAGGTGCAAGGGGACGCTGAATATTTAGCAAACACATTTGAAGTTTTTCCGTTGAAAACCCAGATTCTGTTCATAAAAATATAGGCAAACGTTCACAGAATTCAACTCAAATATGATTTATGTTCACCCAAATTCGCTAAATCCACAGTTACTCATAAACTGAATAAAATCAATTTTTTTTGTCTCAGTCTATCCTTGGTTTTAACGAATATGAGTGAACGGAATTCTTCTTATCAAATGGAACATGTTGAATACATTTTCATGAACATTAACTCCGAAAAGTTTCATTTGATTTTTTGAAATGACAAAAAAAAAAACTGGTTCGCGTTAAGGTTGTGGAATGACCACTTTGATTAAGATGAGCTATTGTCCTTATTGTATTCGCAAAGTTCAAGAAACGGATGATGATTTCAAGCTTCAATTATTCATTCAGAAACAACCGGCGCGCGTTTGGTTCGAAAAAAAGGCTAACCAACGTAAATTTGATCGAGCCTTTTAAAGGGAGCTCTGAAATACCTAAAGCTTCCAGGTGATTTTAAACGGAACAGATGGGGAAGAAGGAACAGTGAAAGACTTAAGGAAAATTAGGTATTAAATTTGGAATGCAAAAAAGAAAACAATTTCCAGGAAGAAAGATGGCAACCGATACGATGCGTACCGAAAAGAAATAGGGCACACTTCAGAACGAAAGGAAAAAGAAGAACTAAAAAAATGTACGGGGGGATAAAATCGAGTGGAAAGAAAAAGAGAAGGGGGATCGGAACGGTCACTGGTGGTGGTGGTTGTTGGGGGGTAGGTAGGTGGTAGGTGGTTTGAGTGGGATTTTGCTCTGGTGATGGGGTAAGTATTACTTGCATGCAAACAAACGTACAACGGCCGGCCTATGTAGCACCCAGATACCCACTTTGGCCATCTGAGCTTGAATGCCCTTCGCTTGGAGACCTTTGACGGCACCCTCGGCGCACGCCGGTGATTCGAAGTCAACAAATCCGTAACCTGTAAAGAGGGAAGATTCGGCGTTGAATTGGGGAACGGGGGTTTTTTCCCCCTTTCGCTGTGTGAAGATCGATAAAGTTGACTTACCTTTACATTTGTTTGTTGTTTTATCTAGTATTGCCTTTGTGGAGATGATGGTACCGTATCTGAAAAAAAGGTAAGTAAGAAGTGGACATGAAGTGGCGTTTCTTGAAGTGGGGGGATGTAAGGTAATAAAACAATGCGTCTCCACCGCTGCCTGTTCCGTCAGAGTCCATCATATTTCCCGGTGATTAATCTTTCCCTCCAACAGCGACAGAGCCATCCGTTGTGTTTAGTCGCATGAAATATGACTCCCATTTTTTTCTTAATGCATCTTTCGTTCCCGAATAATGAACGGGGGGCTCTTAATATGTTTCCCATGCTCTACATATGTTTTACCTCATTCATCTTTCTCATAGAATACGGCGAAAGTTAAAACCTATGTGCCAGGGGCATAAGAAGAATAAAGAGCCAGAACGCAGGTAGAATTCACAAACAGTAGCTCTAGTGGACGGCATGGGCACGAGTGCTGTCACCAATCTAATCCCAACCTACGTGCCGGTGTTCACCGCTCGCCGTTGCTATTTTTTTCCGAGAACGATGGTCACGTTCCTACGCTATCCACAATTGAAATTTTTCAACGTCGGACCACCTCATTCCAATCAGCATCAGCCTGGAGCGGGGGGTATAGGCGTCGAATTTTCCACCTCTGACGAATTTCACGTCAACTCGACTATGGAGTTGGCAGCACCCTCTCAGATTCCAATGAAACATTGTGGGTGAAAAGATTTTGCCTACTTAAGCAACTTTGCATACTTATTTTTCTTAAACAAATCAAGACTACCATTTGAACAGGGAACTTTTTTTAAACTTTTTTTTTAAATAAATGGTCAAAACTTTAAAAAAATATCATTCCTACACTGAAAAATAAAAATAATAAAAAAAAATTTAGAAATGATTGCTCTCAAAAATATAATTTTTAAATATTATGATTTATTTTTTACATGAAAAAAATATACAGACTAATTATCTGCAAGCCGTTTGTATATGGTTAAGAACTGTTCATTTAAGGCCTTGATCGTTCGGATTTCGCATATTAATACAATTCGATTTTTCAGAGCCGGTTAAAGGCAAGTTAAGTTTTTTAACTTTGAAAAGCCACCATTTTGAAAAAATAAAATAAAAATCCTTTCTCACCGTTTGAATTGACTGCTTGTTAATGTAACCCTTTTGAAATTTTTGATTTTTTCGTCCTGGGAGTGGCGTCCTGTGGAACAACGCCACCAGGAAACATATAATAAACATCATTTTTGAAAACCAATGTCAGAATAATAAATGTGAGAGAATCTATTTGAAATATTTTGTTTATCTAGTTCGTTTAGTTGTAAGGTTCAATCACGTTAGCTTTATGGAGCCGATAATTCATTGTTCTTTGTTTGTAACAAAATTAATTTAATTCTATGTCTAGTAGGAGTTGGACCGAATACTCGCAGCTTACCCGAGGTTAGAGGGGTACATTGTCGAATGATAGGAAAAGGGGAGGAGCTTGGGGGTAGGGTTTCGTTGTCTCATCAGAGCGATGTCACCAGTTTGAACGGTAGTGTGGTTCTAGATTCATCTGGAGTTCGACCGGCTATGGTGACCAGTGGGCGACGATGAGACTCATCGAGACGGGCGACAAGAATTATTTGAAATATGTCGCTTACTTTCCGAAAAAAAAAATCCCAAAATGTTGCTTCTTTTTTGGCCTTGAAGGTAGGTTTGACTCCCTTAAGGTTCCGAAGATTTTCAAATGTCAATTATTTTTTAATTCACAGTAAGTCTAGTTAATAAGTATAAATGAACATGATTTATCCTCTATTTAGCTTACAGGTTGTACCCCTTTAAATAACCTAGATTAATTGTATTCGGCTCTAGGTTCATACGGATATTTACGAGTATGAATTGCATAACTTATTACTCGTCAGTACAATAGATTTACCATTATGTTTAGGTCTCAACACGAACGTTATTAGAGAGAGAGCAGAAGATTAGAACACCTGATTGGTGATTAATCGGGCCCAATTGATTGCGAGTTTTCAACTTGGACGATGTATAACGTTGTTTTCATCTATTCTAGCTTTGACGCTACTTCAAATAAAGTTTTTAATCCCAGTGTCAGCTACAATTTTTTCTCCACTTCCTTTCACAACAAGTGTATTAGGAGCTGTTTGGAGAATAGAACGTAGCCCTTCTGCGTGAGATCCCCAGAACGACCCGCTACGCAATATATGAAATATATTAAAGTCACCTGTTGTCTTGAGTACTGCTGGAGTATTCAGTGCCGGCTGACTGACTTGAGCACGAAACACAACACTTTGATGAATTTAAAATTGGTGTTTTCTCGCATGGTACCCCAACATAGTTGTGCTGCAGTGGTTAGCATTCGTAGATTGCATGCCAAATACACAGGTTTGAATCCAGGAAATGGTGACTGTTCCTACTACATGACATCATATTCCTGTATGAAGGGTCAAAAACGGTGCGACGGACCCGCAAGAAGAGACTCGAAACCCGCGGGAGTGATAGAGAATCTCCTTCCAAAAGTAAGTTCATACAACCAGAAATCAAATCAAGCCATCGTGTAGAAGAACGTCCCAGTAGATGGGTAGAAGAGCCCACCCTCTATCCACGAAATGATAGCAACAGGGGGATGGAAATCTCACTATCCCCATCCAAATAGCTTCAGTCGGGTCCCTCCCGGTCCCCAATATTTTTTTTAAATAAATGATTGAGTAAGAAGCACCCAGCTGTACTATTTGCAATATTTGTAACAAGTGAGGTTCGAATCCAGGAAACACTCTTTATTTTTTAATGTTTGGGTTGAATATTGATGCATATGTTTAAGAATCATAATTTATTCGAGCCACTGATCCTTTCATACATGAAATATTGTTACAAATAATGACTTGTGCAGGGCTGATAGCGATCACTGCTGTCAAAAATAGTGATTTTAGTGACCATGTTGAAGAAATAATTGACCAAATAGTGACTTATAGTTGTAAAAATAGTGACTAAATAGTGACCTAAGAGAAGAAAGTAGTCGCTGTGAAGGCACACCAAATAAAGGTTTGATGTTTTAGACTTATTCAATTAGTATCTCATAACCTTTGAAGCGAAAGATTTAATAGAAAGTTTATCGCCAAACCCATGGTGTTAGTCAGCATTTCTACTAACTACAAAAACTTAAAAAACCGGGAATCTTAAGGAATTTGTGAGGAGAAATGCCAATGAATTCTTAGAAGACTTGCAATGTAAATAGCATTCCTAGGGAAGGAAAGACATTCAAAAGGAAATCTGAAATAAATTCAATGAATATTCGGAGAATCTTTCCTAAGGGTTTCATATTGAGGAGAATTTCAAGGTAATTCATAGGAAAACAAAAAAAAAATGGAATTCGTAGGATGGATTCATCAAAATTATGAGGAATATTTCAATGGAAATCTCCGTTGAATATGGAATGAACTATTCTGAGGACTTCAGAACTACTTGAAAGTTCCCAAATTTTTCCTGAAGCTAATGAAACTGCCTTGAAGTTCTTTTGTAGTTTGAGAAACTAAACTGATGCTCAAAATATTACTCATCAAATTCCGGACTTCCTAAAGTTTCCTCAATCTTTCTAACGATCATGGATCTCCTCTAAAGGTTCATCATCGTTGAAGTTCTCTAAACTTTTTTAAATTTATTTTTCTGAAATTCTCAAAACTACTGTAAAGATTTTGCAGTTCTCATGAAGCTTGTTGTACTGCGCTGAATTTATTTGAACCGTCCTAAAAATGTTTAAGCTTCAGTGAACTTCTGAACTTATGTGAAGACCCTAATTAACTTTTTAACGTCTCTGAAGTTATCTGAAAATCTGGGAACTGCTTTTAATTTCCCACTAATTTTCAGAAACTAATGGAGCTGACCTCCTCCTGCAATTCCTCCAACTTTCGGAGCTTATTAAACTTCTTTAGAATGCTTTCCCATTGAGCTAATGTTCATAAAAATTACTGAAATTCACGATTTTATTTCCATAGATTTCTATGAAGTTCTCGAAATGTTGCTGAAGATCACGGTTTTTTTTTCAAATTTCTGGAGCTTTGTGCTCCCGCAATTTTTATGGAATTAGAACGAAATAATTAATACAGTTCTATGACTTTCATTCAAGAACTCAAGATTTTTCTGAAGTTCATGAAACTTCCTTTAAATTATGGACTCTAATTTAAAACTTTTTCAATAGTCTAGACTTTCCCGGTGTTATTAAAACTGCCAAAACGATAACTTAATTTCTTTAAAGTTCTGTAGAATTCCCTGAATTTGTCAGTATTTTTTTAAGAAACTGAAATTATTTGATTTGCCTTGAAGTTTCGACACTTTTTCTTATGTATAAATTCTCTAAATTTTCTGATAATTCATAATGCCCTGACGCTTCTGACGTTTTCGGATCAATCTTAAAATTCTTGGAATACCCCATAAATCCACGGAACACCTTGTAAGTCACTGCAAATTTGCTTAAGTTAATGGGATTATTCTGTAGTTATCTGATCGTCCTCGGAACTACGCTGAATATCATGCAACTATCTAAAAATATCTAAATTTTTTAGAAGCACTCCGGAGTTTATTGAAGATTTCACTGCTCGCCAAAAATTTTCGCATTTTTTTAATGAATGGAGCTTTGTTGATGTTCTCTAATCAAAAATACTTCTTGAACTAACTCAATTCTAATGAAGATCTCGGTTCTGCTCGGAAATAAATGGAATTCCCGTAAACACCTTTAAATTTCTCTGAAATTATCTGGACTTCTGTGAAGTTGCAGAAATATTTCTAAAGCATTCATAAATTATTTGAAGGTCTCTGTACTTTCCTGAGATTCTCGAAACATCTTAAGGGTTCTCGATTTTTTTTTTCATCACATTATTTTACGATTACGAGTATAGATCTTTAAACTGCCCCAAAAGTCTGGAATAAAGTTACGGGAGCTGCTCTTAAGATCTGCAATTTCCCAAAGATCCCTAGATCTAGCTTTTCTGAGGTGCTTAGAACTTCTTAAAAAATTGCACAATACTCTTCAAGTTTTCTATATTTCTCAAGTTCGCTTGACACCTGTGAAGATCTCTGAAATTATAGGAACTTCATTAAAGTTCCTGAGAATTTTCGGATGCTAAAAGAACCTTTTTAAGGTTCTTAAGGGGAAGTTTACCGCCCCGAAAATAAAAAAAATATATTTTCGGCACGTTTTTATTTTTCTAAAAATATTGGGAAATAATATAAAAAATCCAAGAAAATCAGTTTTTTTCTAAGATTCTTGACAAAAATACCATGTAAAAATTATTTTCTTATCTCATCATTACAAAATATTGGACTCTCAGCAGAACCGAAAAGACGATGTTTTGTGGTTTTTTGAGTCCAAATTTATGCCAAGAAGACTTACAAAACATTTTTTTGCACATTAATTTTCCTTAGAAAATAAGAAAAAATGTGATTTTTTTAGACTTTTAGATATCTTTCTCCAATGTTTTAAGAAAAATCGAAACGTATTTTTTTTCGGAGCGGTAAACATCCCTTAAAGGGAAGCTCACCGGCCCAAAAAAAAAAAATTTTTTTTGGGTACGTTTTTATTTTTCTAAAAATATTGGGAAAAATTATCAAAAATCCAAGAAAATCAGTTTCTTCCTTAGATTTTTGTCAAAAATTACATGCAAAAACTTTTTTTCTATCCCATCATGAAAAAAAATTGGACTCTCAGAAAAACCGAAAAGTTGATGTTTTGTGGTTTTTTGAGTCCAACTTTATGCCATAATGACTTATAAAACATGTTTTTGCACGTGAATTTTCTTTAAAAATTAGAAAAAATGTGATTTTTTTAGATTTTTGATACTTTTTTTTCAATATTTTTAGAAAAATCAAAACGTAATTATTTTTTTCGAAGCGGTGAACTTCCCCTTAAAGCTTCCAGTAAGTTCCCCATATTCTCAGCGTGTTAACTTTCCTTATGTACCCGCAGTTTGTTTATGGAGCTTAACTGAAATTCTCAGCATTTCCTCTCATTCCTCAGAACTTCTCCAAAGTTCCTACAATTTTTGTAAAGTTAATGGAACTGCAATGAAGATCTCTAATCTTTCATGAAGTTAATTACGAACTTGAAATAAACCATTAATTTTTTTCCCTTAATACTAGCCTTTAAAAAAAATTCAATATCTTCAATATCAACTTGTACATAGAATACGAAACTTCAAGATATTGAATATCTTTAGATCTTGGACTTACTCAAATTAAGTAAGTTTTTTTTTCTTTATTAAAGTGAGAAATTAAGTGGATTTGATTGTAAAGCTGTTTCTTTAAAACTGATTGCCATGTCTTGAAACCGTTTGGATTACTTACTGTCGTTTTTGATCTACCAAAAAATAAGCATATTTTTAATTCATTTAAAAAATTGCTTTCTTATATAAGCCTGGAATTTATCCGTTAAAGTTCTGCAAAAACCTGGAAAACTCAGGTAATTTTATTTAGAAAAATGAGTGGACAACCTGTAGATAGAGAAAGACGATTAAACGTCCCAAAGTAAAGAATGATGAATCTTGAAATAAATGCACGCTAAAAAAAGTTGGAAATAGTGACTGATTACAAGAAAAAGTGACTTTAGTGACTTGGCCTTAAAAAGGAGACTTTTTAGTGACTGGCTTGAAAAAAGTGAACAAGTCACTAAAAAGGAACTCGCTACCAGCCCTGACTAGTGTGGATTGTTTCATGTGGGTTTCGACTGAACTTTTTAGAAACTTTAAAGTTGATAAGAAGTTCCGTAGGGACCTTTTTCGGAACTTTGTTGCGGTTATGTCTGCAACCTTGCCTGAAGTTCATAAGAAGTTTTTGGAACTTCAAGTTCCTAAGAGCCTGAAGCTCCCCTGGTGCTTTGATTAGCTTCTTAAGCAGCCAGCGTAGGTACTTTATATGAACTTTATGGAACTTGAAAGTGGATTTTATCGTGGAATACGGTACTTTTGGTTGCTTGGGCATTAGCCAGCTACCGAGCCCTTCCCAAGTAAATGTTTTGGTTTCATCGTGGTTTTGAAGAGCTTGGCTTGAGGACCATATTAAAACTCATATTGTTACTTTGGTATTACAAACATTTTTCTCGTGGAGGTAAATGACAATGATTTAAAAATTTTGATTTGCTCCATCAAATAAATCATCGTTGAGATTTTTTAAAGTAACAGGTAACAACCCAGTGCATGGCATTCTACATGCTTCGCTGTCCCCGCGCCCTACGTGAAATTCTATGTGACAAACAGCAATGCAATCACGGTGGGTGGCATCGGAACCATATCTACCACGCTCGCTAGCTGCCAGAGCCTCGGCATGGCATGTTGCTGGTGATGCTGGGAAGGCTGTACACATCATTTCCATTTAGTGGACTAAAGACCACCACAATGAAGAGTGATGGGTTCTTTATTGAACGGTTTTCGCCGGCGGTGATGGCTCCAAATGCGGATAGAAAGGAAGGGAGGTAAGCCACAGTGTGGAAGATGGCCTTTAACGCAAAAATCATATCAACACACACACGCGCACAACAATGCAACGACAGAACGTGGTTGGTGGTGAACGACGGGGTGTTTAAGGCGATTCCTATGAATGAGAGATTGATTGCGGGATTAATAATTGTTTGAATGGGAGGATGAAGCAGCGCGTTGTGCGAGGAATAAAATATTATACGAAAAATGAATGAGAATGACGGATAAATCCGCTCGTCAAACGCGCTGGAAGAGATGTGAAGAGGCTTCGATCTCGTTTGGGGAATAATTTGCGGTATTGTTTAGAGAGAAAGGTTGATGGAATAAAAATTCCGGATGATTTCCGAAGCGGTATTTGCGAATTGAATGTGTAGGAATGCGATAAAAGGGCTGATCCCAACGGATTGGATTCTAAAAAACATCGATTATTTTCCGAGGCATTTATTTTTCGGTAGCAGCGGATTTTAATAAATTAACTGGATCATTCTGACGATAAAAGCCAATTATGACACGGAGAGGAGGGAGACGCATGGTAGATAGTAGTAATTTCTCAAAAGGTACTCACTGTGCACACATATTGATCAGATCCTTGTCGGTCGTGCCCTGCTGCAGTCCGCGGATGTAGAGGTTCGTCTTGGACAGCTGTTCCGTCTGCTGTGGGGTATTACTGGGTCCCATCGTGTTGTTTGTGTTGGTATTGCTCAGACTCGTACTCAGCGTGCCACTCTGGGAACCGGTGTTGGATGAGCTGCTGGAGTTTGTGTTGCTGGGCGATGCTGCTGTCGGTACACGCTGGCCGTACTGCAAGGGAAAATAGAGAATAAAATCCAGGGTAAGAAAGACTGTCTGTTACCAACACCATCACAATGAAACAGCATAACGATAACGAATGATAAAACTTAATAATTGATCAAAAGAAATAAACTCCCAAATAAGAAACAGAAAAAAAAAAACTAAACAATACTTGAGACTCATCGTATGGGGCCATCGCAGAAACTAATGAAAACTTTTGCCAAGATCGTCTCGTTCATATTCTATCCATATTATATCCTCTGGGAAACGTGTTGAATAATAATGATCGTGCGTTTCTTGCGCTTTCCACAGTATTGTCGCCGTGTTTTCTTCATTTCCCAACGGTCGTCGCACTGGCGTGATAGCCAGCGACCGACGACGTTCCAAAGGTGCCATCGCCAACACACCGTCGTCGTCGTCGTCGTCGTCGTCGTCATGATTAATTTGAAAATTTTAATAAAACATTTTCTTTGCATTTCCCATTTCCCCCTTTCTTTATAGGAATCAAACGGAGAACTTTTGCCTCTTTCATTTTCATTCAGAACAGCTCGCAGAGTTCCCACAGGGGGCCAGAATATGTCGAATAATGAAAGGCAAAGGCAAATAAAAGCATTAGAAGCCGTCAGCAACCAGCAGCAGCATGAAACAGGACCTACAAGTCCTAAGGATATGCGCATAAATATAACGGAAAGAGGACGAGCTTGGGGATCGGGCATCGCCGCAGAGGTGACGGAAAGACATATGGGGTGGGAAAACTACTCGCTATTTACGCTTGTTCTCCAAGGAGGGAGGAGAGTTTTTTTTTCTCGGAAGAACGTGATATGGGGTTTAAGACTATGCAATGTGATATGGATGTTGTAGAACTTTTTCTTTGGACGGTGTGTGTGTGTGTACGTGTGTGTTCAGTTTGAAGAGGATGCTTTTCACAAGTAAGATTTTCTGACAAATTTAGACAGGTTTGTCCTGAACGGGAGATTTTTGTATAAATTAGATCAGAGTTTCTCAATATATGGGTCACGTTACGACCCACCCCGGTGTGGATCGTGGTCTGTCCTGTTAGATGGATCACAGAAATTCATATACAGTACCGGGCATAAGTATTAGGGTGGTTCAAAATATCGATGTTGCTCCACCCCGCACAACCGATTCTAAATCAGGTCCGGATCATTCTCTTAAAATTTAAAATAACATCTGAGACAAAGTTGTAGGAAAAAATAGTTCCGTTTTAGGAAAAAATATGCAAGATAAAACAAAATCAAACTACCAAAGAAGTATTTTAAATTTAAATAACAAAAAAAAAAAACACACTTTAAGATGTATTGAATATTTTTAATAAAAAACCTCATTGAAACGGCTATCTTCTGTGAGATTTTCAAGTTGGATAATTCAAAATTAACAAAAATCGTAGAACAACAACTAGAGGTTATATTTTTGAACATTATATTTTTTTTTAAATTTTAGTACCGGAAACTCCGATTTTAAAACTTTAAAAAATGATTTTCTTTGTAAAATTTCATCAAGAATTGTTCAAACAAAAAGTTCTGAAACATTATAAACTTCACAAAAGACAGCATTTTTACTAAGCTTTTTAATGAATATTCAAAACAAAAATTATTGAAGAGAGTATTTTTTTGTTTAAGCACTTTTAGTTTTATTTTATTTTATCCAAATAATCCAAAAGGAATTATTTCTTTTACAACTATGCCTCAGACGTAATTTTGATGAAAAGTGACGTTTTCGAGTTATGATTTGTTGAAAAATTTTGAAAACGCCATTTTAAAGTATTTTGCAAGAGTCAAAATGGACGAATGTAAATGATTGATCATAACAAACAATTATGCAACAATTCATGCAAATCGGAGAAGATCGCATCAGATGGATTTGTCATTTGGCTATACTCCAAAAGCAAAGAAAAAATTGACTCACTAACTTCAATTTTTTTTTAATTTTGAGGTGCAGGAGGTTTGCATGCGCACTAGCGCCGCGTGGTAAAAATATTTTGAACTTATTTAAACAGCATCCGGCAGTCCCCAGTCACCTGAAAAAGTTTATCGTAGACATCAATATTCTAGACTGTTAGTATAAGCGGTTTTAATCCTCTGTTCACAATCAAAATCAAATACTTGAAAATAGATTATAGGGGAAGTGTGCTAGTTATGGCACTAGTGTTACCTTAATTTACCAAACGGCCTAAATCAAGTTCAAAACAAGTTTTTCTATATTTTGCACCGCTGGCATTGAGAACAACATTTAGACTAACGTCCTGTGGAAGAAATTTTGGTTTTTATGACAATTTCAAGGTTTCAGACAGTTTAGAGGATTAGAATTAGATTAGAGGAATTAGAGGACAACTAGTGCCATAACTGGTACACTTTCCCTACACTTTTTCCCGCAGAGTGAAAACCTACGTTGGACAAAAGTTGATTAACCTTGCCAATTATTTCATACGACGAAAAATTGGAAAAATCCGCATATTTGGCTCATTGTACTTCTGGCAAATCCATTTTTAAATAGGCCTTTCCAAAAGGAAGTGTTTTACTGAAAATGCTCAAATTTTTTTCAGATTCAACCGATTACGCTCAAAACTGTACCAATAAATTTCGAATACCTACTTGGCCAACCAGCAGCCAAGATTTCAAAACTTTTTTTTGCAAAAAACAAAAATCGAGATGTTACAGAGCATTTCCACGCCAAATAGCAAATCGATTGAACATGACTCTCTTCGATTTGAATGAAACTTTGCACATATGTTGGTTGCTACCCAAATGACATTTTTCATAAAAAAATCAGTTTTTCCCAAATATTTTTTTACAACGGCTATGTAAAAAATGGGGTTTAAAAAAAATTATATCTTAAAAACATTACATTTGATCAAAATGACGCCTAAGAAAAAGTAATCCGCAATATCATGGTCTATCCGAAAAGGGAAAAATAATTGAAAAATCGTGTTTAAAAATTAAAATGATATTTTCCCAATTTTTCAATGTTTTTTTGTGGAGAAAGCTGAAATTATGCCCACAAATCTGGCTCAGAGTGTTAGATTGTTAGGTGGTAAAATGGTTAAAAGTATTTTTTAAATAGTTTTTGTTATTATCAAATTTTAAAATATATTCCAATCTTGTATTTTGAAATAAAATATTACCAAAAATAAATTCTGCGCATCATTTTCAATGAATTAGTTCATCTGAATATTTTACTTTAGTTCATCCGTTCTCAAGTTATTACTTGACATTAATTGGATGTAAAGACTTTGACTTTCACATAAAACAGGACAACTTTTTGAAAAGGCCTAGTTTGTTTTTTTTTATTTTTTTTAACAAATTATTGAACGATGTTTTGGTTGTTGGTTCTGGTTGGATACCCCCTCCGTGGTAGTCAAAAAGTTTTGCCAGTAAGGCATAAATCGTTCATTCATTAATTTCATAACAGCTATGGTAGGAAATTCGTTGAACAGATACTTAAGCGATAATCAGGGTAACTATTTTTCCGTACTTGATGTCCTTGAAAGAAATCACAGTATAATTAATAGCACTGTACATATAATGAATCAACTTAAGTGACAACATTTAAAATTGTAATTAGTTGACTTTAAATGTAATCATTGTATTGCAGTGTGTAATTAAAGAACTTTACATAGTTTTTGTTATTTAAGTTTTTTAGCCTAGCAATTACAATGATAAATGTTCTTAAAACTGTAGACAGAGTGAATTTATTTACGGTGCTTAATAAGTCAAAGTATTTACCCCTAATTAGTGTCATTTGGAATCTGAGAGGGTACTGCCAGCCACTTGTCGAGTTGGAGTCAAATTCGACTTGGGTATATTGGACAAAATCAACTTGTTTTTCTTTGGCTCAGGTTAAAACAGAATTGGTGATTCTGACAGTCTCCATGTCTGATGATGATTTTATTGTATTATAATATGCAATCATGATTAATACTTTTTGGTGCTGGACATCGTGACTATCATTCGAGAAAGGTCTGAATTAATGGTAATATATACATTCAAAGTGTTTTTATGTTACTTCATACGCGAAGTTAGCGATTTTCAGAGTTGGTTGGAAATGCTAACATGAAGCTTTAGTGTGACAATTTATTAGCTAGAGAATGATCTTTAGAAGAGGGTAGGTGGATAGTTCCGTTAGAGTACGGCAGTATGAAAATTGAATAGAAGTTGAAAATGAGCGAAGGCCATTAATGCGACAGTTTTTAAAGATCGACGCACATTTTTGCCTAACCCGTACGATGTACGCGGAGACTTGAAGTATGTCTCCAAGTCTACAGGCAAAAGATGTGCGTCCTCCTTCTGCTCATAACTTACTGCGGCTGTGGAATAGTTCTAGCGATGTTTTCATCACTACCTAAAGGGTGTCCACGATGAAATTGCCACACTTTGAAATTGCTCTAACTTTTTAACCGTTGGGTAGAATTTTGGGTGGATTTAGTTCATAGTGCATTATTTACATCCTGCAAGTTTTAAAGTCCTGTGATCAAAACTCGCGGAAATGGAGTCGAAAGAACAGCTCGTGCGTGATAAAATCTTGCGCATTCATCACGAGAACAAGGATCTCTCGCATCGTTCCATCGCTAAAACGTTGGGAATCGCGAATTCCACGGTGTCGCGAGTGATTAAGCGGTTCGAGGAACGGTTGACCACCGATCGGAAGCCCAGAAGTGAAGGAAAAAGTATTCCGTACAACACCAAAAATCACAACCGCGTAGTTGGGGCCTTCAACCGAAATCCGAACGCCTCCGTTAGGGATGTGGCTAAGAAGCTGCACCTAAGCCGAAGTTTTGTCCAGAAGGCCAGAACTAAGGCTGGGCTTCGAACGTTCAAGGTACAAAAGGCCCCTAATCGCGACGAGAAGCAGAACAAGTCCGCCAAAACCCGTGCCAGGAAGTTGTACCTCAACATGCTGACGAAAGTTGAATGCTGCATCATGGACGACGAAACATATGTGAAGGCCGACTTCAAACAGATCCCCGGCAACCTGTTTTTCACGGCCAAGGA